AGTCCAACCATCAACCCAACACCACCATGCCTACTAAACCATGTTCCTAAGCAACTCATCTACACGTCTTTTAAATACTTCCAGGGATGGGGACTCCACCACTTCCCTGGGCAGCCTGTTCCAATGTTTCACCACTCTTTCAGTAAAGAAATTTTTAAAGAAATGTCACCTTACATAATTTCACAGAATGTTTCCAAATTTGATAAACTACAGCATATTGCCTTCAAAACTCATTTCCACCAAACCAGGCTGCTAGCGGCAGCTGGGCAGAATTTGTATTTTAAGGACAGCTGGATTTCTAATGCGTGTAGTTGCAGTCATCTTGGCAAAACCTGTAATTTAAAGCTTGGATATTGTGGGTAGATGGGTACCCAGCATCTGTGTTTTTAAAAGTTTTCCTTTCTGCTGTAAGCGCGTGGACAACACTCAAAAAGGAAAAGTTTCTGCTTGGGGTGAGGGCCTGCGGGGAAGAAACAGAGAGGGTGGCTGGTGTGTACAGGTTTTGTCTAGCAGCTGTCAGCGTGGGAGCCACCAGCAGGGCCCCAGGTCTGAGCCAGTAGTGCAGATCAGCATTGTGGAGCTCTGGGCTGGCCTCCGAACTGGAGGAGGACTGGGCTGGCAGTGCTGCGCAGCGGAGCTGCAGAGCACCATGGGGCAGCAGCACACTGCAGCAGGACACCTGGAAGAGTTTGCTGCCTGAGAAATAGCTTCTCTCAAGCATGCTGTTTTACACACCAGATGAAGGTTACACACTGGAATACAGCAGCAGAAAGGGCTGCAGATCCAGGGACTGTGTTGTTGCTTTTAATGAATCCCACCATGCTCCAGGGGCCACACACCTGATAGTGGGTGGACTGTGGACTGTTCAGATTATAACCTGTAAGAAACTAGATGCTACTTACAAGCAGGTCATGTAAAAACCACATTTTTTTCATGGTTACTTACAGTGAATAAAGGACTACGTCATTCTTTTAAACTAGGATGGAAGAGACGTGTTTAAAAAAAGGTGCACACTTTGTATGGGGAAATTTTCTTTGTTTTTAATTTACAGCAGAAAGAATATAAAGCATTCAGAAAACATTTTCCATATTTTAAGGGCAATTCAAAACATTTTGCATGGTTCCAGCAGCTGAGTTCTTCAACAGATCCATTGATTCAGTGATGCTTTACATGCACGGTTACAAAAATAAAACTTACAAAAGAGAAGACATCTATACTAGTTTTACATGCAAGTCTTGGGGACCCCCCATTGGGCACCAACTATTGTGTGGAACTGCCATAAGCGTGCAACCAGAGAGGGGGTTCATGTTATATTCTGTATTTCTTTCACACAGTATTACTGCTGTCGAATGTGTTTCACAAAGGAGCAATTCCATTATCAGAAGACAGAAGATCTGGCTCCTGGCATTTGGGAATTCGAATTTTCCCGGAAAGCTGCACTTACTTATCTTCCGTGAAAATGTAAGTTCCACAACCAAGAAAAGGGTGAGCAGAATCACTTCACTGCGGGGGGAGTCTTTCTAACTCCCCAGTGGTACACTGAAGGGTTACGGCCCGACACAACAAAGCACTTAGAAGCTGTACTCGGCTTAAAGCATGCAAGTAGTTCTGTTGCGCCCATGGAATTGCTTGCATGTTTAACAGCAAGTACATGCTTAAACGTTTGGCTGAAGCAGGATCTAGATTAGTAGATACACCACCAGGCCCATGGATCTGGAAGAGTAATTTGAAATAGCTCTGTATATTACTGTATCATTTTCTGGAAAGACAGGGAGTTAAACATTTCCACTGAGGTCACTACTCTTGTTAGGAAAAGGTCAATTCTATATTGTCACGTATCAGTTAATGGGAGCAACATTTCGGTTTCAAAATGTCAGAGTTCTTCCAGTATTAATACAGAGCATTTCCAATTCATTCCAAAGGAGTCTCTTCGGCATCTCCTGTTCTGTTTTTGTGTGAGAGAAAAATTTAACGGTTAAGGTCCCAATTCCATACAGTAAATTGAGGCTATGAGGCTGCCCACAGGCACAGTGTGAGCGCCAGGCCATTTGTTTTTCTTTTTTCCCTTTTTTTAGATTGAATCAGGTCATAAAGCAGCAGTTCAGAAATGTACAAGAGAATTCTGATAATGAGCTATAGCACATCTACTGTTAATTCAATGCTGGCAGTGAAAAGAAGTAATTAAAAACAGGTACAATTATAGAAAAGGCACCAAGAGCACTGACCCCAGTTTTTTTGCCACAATCTTGTTTTTACTCTTCTTTTAAAGACACCAGTTTAAAAGCTTCTTACGTGTGAATATTTTTAGGCTTCACAACAAGCCTTGTGTTTAAACATTGCAGTTGGTGGCCGGGATCAAGCAAGAACAACTATTCCAAAACTAACAATCTCAAATTTACACCAGTCCATTCAGAAATTTTAAACTGCCACAAGCAAAACAAACACACAGGAGCAGTTTCTGATCTCAGACGCATGTACATAACCCACGGTAATGACACAGACTTCAGGAGTTTCCTCCCTTACATTCCTGTGTAATAAAGATCAGAACCTGGTTCCCATTGTCGAGAATTTGTGACAGTTTTAAATTAGTAGTTCAATTTAAAAAAATCTAATTTCTTTGGCTCCTCAACATGTGGAAATAGCAATATACCATGACACCCCTACAAGATCAGTTTGCATCTTTTTTTAAGTTTTACTTAATTTTTTAAAATTTTTTGTGCAATTTTTATTACATTTTCTGACTTCCAGCAGGAGATATGAAAATGTGAAACATATTTTTCTACTTTCATACTATTTCTTTTTTTTTTTTTTTCATTTTATGTTCATTCTAAGTGTTCCTTATTGGAGTGAGTGTATGGTGTTAAGCTAGATACGGTTTTTGTACTCTTATGATTATCTGCTTTGCAAAAGTAACTTAATTTTCTTAAGCAATATTAGCATTCACATTACTTGGCACCATTGGCAAAAAAAAAAAAAAAAAAAAAAGACGGGGGAA